TTCGATCGATTTTACAATAATGTTCTTAAAAATAATTAACTTTCGATTTAATTAATTAAATCGTTTACAAAATACTCTACTGTAGAATTATTTTATTTTGTATTTATTACATGTAGCCATGTAGGTATGTCAATCATATCCCTCACGATTCCAATTACACGCTATGCAATATCATATTCATACCAAATTATTTTTTGTAACATCTGAAACATGGTTAATAGTTGGATATAGCGTAGCAATAACAAAGTGGGAATGAGTGCGAAATGTAAACACTCTTAAGTGATATGACAGTCAGAAAATAATTATATAATTAATCCTGTAAATGGAGGYGTCAGGAATCAAATAATAAGTGTTAAGTATTTGTCTGGTTAATTAAATAAGAGATATTACTTATTACTTATAAGAGTTAATTATGGTGTGATTGTTTGAAAACTTTTTAATATATATTTTTTGACATTTTGAGTATCTTATAAATTACACTCGCCCGTAATGTTTTAAAAAAGACTATATTATTATGTAGACGGAATGTAGGTGTATTATACCTATATATATATATATATATTTTTTTTTTAACGTATACTCGTATATTGCAGATTCAATGGGCTACAAAACAATATTCATATAAGCTGTGTCTACCAGTTTCATGTTTAGTATATTTTTTTTTTTACCGAGAGAAATAAATAGTTATATATATAAAAAAAACAGTAACGTTTATCAACTATACTTAAAAGATCGATCGTATATATTCGTATGTGTAATGCATAGGTCCTGCCCCCTCCGTGTACCATGTATAATGTACCTATACAGTATACATAATATGCACTTTATAATAATATAAGCTCAGGAGAGTTCAAAAGCAGTTACCTTACATGTGTCTTATAATATCATAGGTAACACATAATAATATAAACTTACCATGAAATCCACTTGAACTCATTTCATATAAATCATCCGAAATATTACGGTTCACTTAACAAATACGTAAAGCTTTATGGCGTTTAATAGCCTGTATTTTGTATCAACCGTCACCCCTCAGGGTCCACGCTAAACYGGAGTAGAGAAAATAAGGCGTTTATAAAATATACAATTACTATAATTTTATATTACACGTACACACGTGCGTTTATGTTATAATAATATTATTATTCTTGTTTACGGGTCGATATCCAATAATTGAGTTTTTATTTTTTAATCACTCGACGTGTCTGTCTGGTGAAATTACTTATTTGTTTGCATAAAGTATAGCACGTCAATATTATTTATAACAGACACAATTATTAAACGAACACAGATCGAACGATCGTTTTTTTTTTTATGTACCAATTTATATTTTTAATTTTGTAATAAAAATTATATAAAGTGCATATTGACATGTGCAGTTTTATTGCAACAATATAATATAAGGTATTAAAGGTGARCAATGACTACCTACGCATGCTTTTATATTTATATATATAGTATTGAAAATATGAAATATTTTTATTTTGTCTCCAAAATATTCTTTTAATTTTTTTTTTTAATAAATAAATCTTTAAATAATTTATTATTATATGCAATTTATTTTTAATGTAATGCAAGACATGCAAAAATATTATAAACTTAGCATTTGTTTGATTGATATATTTTTTTCAAATTTTAAATACRCATTAAATTAAATTATGATATAATAATTTATGTAGATATAATATATTATATTTTTTTTTAAGTAGTCATTTTAATTGTATTTTGATAGCTATACCACCTATATAGAAGTGTAATATGTATAATTACATGTAATATTATAAAATATGTAGGGGCACATTTTTATAATGTGTTACAATAATTTAAAACTTGTGCAAAATATTATTAAAACACATCATAATGATATTGCAGATAGCGAAAAAATACCATTTTTTTTAATAAAAACGGAATTTTAATTAATTTTTCTACATTTATATTTACATCGTTTAAAAATAAAATATATATAGTAATATATGAAACGTTACAAATAGATTGSGCACATTATAATTTTAAATATTATAATACGTTAATACCTATCGTGTTAGGTATAATAGGTACTTGCTTCGTATGATAAGAAATTAAAAGCATAATCAAACGATCAATTGTGCGTGAAACGCGATACACCTTATTATCCGATACGCATCACATATAGGTTGGTACCAGAGGTACCATGATGGACAAATAAGCTCTTTATAAGCGCCCTAACTGTATACCTCGAGGCGTGGGAGGGAGGGGGGCATTCGACCAGTGTACATTTATGGATAATTAATTTTCCGTTGCGATCTTTGATGAAATATAAGTGGTTATTACGTACCTACGAYTCGTCCGAATTACTTTCACATGGAAACCATATTATTATTATGTCCTATGCTCTCACATGATATTATAATAGTAATAAATAATAATAATAATAAATATGCGTCCGTATAAATATTTTTTCCGAAAAAACAAACAAACTCTTATCCACACGTCACGACGTGCCGTCGATCGAAACTTACTAAAAATTAAAATATACGATTGAATAACTATCGATTACTTTAATGCGAGTAAAATATGCTGTATTTTGTGTTGCCTCCTCAAAGAGCATCACGAATATCGTTGTTATATCAGGTATAATTAGGTAGTATTGTATTATCGACGAGTGAATATAATATAATATACCTATATATAATAATTATTGTCATCATGTACCATATTTCACATTTTACTTTACCCACCCGTATAATAATATTAAACGATACTGTGGAGGTACGCGTAAACTGAGTGACAACCGTCCGAATTGAATATAATATAACATATTTTCAAAAAACAAAAACATAGATACATATTAATAATACTATTGTATTCAATGTGACCACATAACACTTAAAAGTGTGGCCACTCAACGAAGTCCGACGCACAAATTATATCACAACATATTAATATGTCAGTCTCCCGATAATCTTCGTCGCGTCCCACGCCCGTTTACGTAAAATGAGTATATATAAACGTGGCCCGATGGAACATGYGTGTGCTCAAGCTGGTGGTTTACGATAATAGATTTTTTGGAAAAAAAAAAAGTCGTAATACCATACTAATGTGGAGTTTTTTCTACATATAATGCACGTCCGTTAAAATCTAATCACACTGTGCCGATGCTGCGAACGCATTACGAAAAACGTTGCATATAAATTCGAATCAATGAAGCGTATTCGGTAGACATTATACTCGGCAGTATGTCTCATCATAATAATATTATGCAGTACGAGTAAAACGACGTTTGGTATCGTCGACATTAATTTTCGAATACGGTTTCAGAAAAGCTCGTGTTTACATTTCTAATCATTGCAGCACAGTGGCCGTTATTGAGAGGCACGTCGTTTTCGAAAACACCACATCATCCACGTTGTTAGGTTAATATCACACTAAACTTGCAACTATGAAGTTTAAAAACATTTGTTTTCGTGTAAAATGTTGTTTTTTACACGTATCGAATTGTACCCGTTTTTATTAGCACATATTATATTTATATAATATCACTATATCCAAACAGTTGTGTACGATTTTTGTGAGGACTTGGCAAGATTTTTTTCAGATTTGAATACAGGCTAACCTCACGTTACAAAATTTTACTCTAAATCATGAACCAATTTCAGACATTTTATCAAACAAAACAATTACCTACACTTTAATGTACCTATACAGAAATTAATTCGAAGCATAACCAATAGTTTTTGATAAACACTAAGAATTAATTTTTACTCAAAACATGTAAATTATAATTATCATCACGACCATGTTCTTATTGACATAAAGTAATAGGTATCAATCGAAAAAAAATTCTAACACGTTGAACGCTCTTGTCATAATATGACCAACTATTGTATGAGATTTCTTTTGATTTACTTTGATCTGAATTTTATTAAAGGTAATTTATTTGTCTACTTTCATCCATGATAGTAGTTTTAAATAGTAACATAATGCGTTTCTTGATCTACATGCAGATGAATAATTCTGGTATAGTTATTAAAGATTATATCTTATTTATATTTATATGCATACATCTATTATAATGTTCCTTAAAATATTTAATTTTTTTTCCTTTTGTATGCTGCTTGTAGGTACATCTTTCCATATTTTAGTTTCACGCGTGCAAGTCCGTCCAATTAGGTTTGGATTTCATTCGACGATGTATAGCATAATATTGTTGTTATAATAATGGTATTTTTTAAATTATCTTTATTATATTGGTTTTTTATAGATTCAGTCCTCTCAAAGAACATATTAAAATAACACTTTCACCTACACCGTCAAAGTATRGTGTAGTATTACATCTACCTACCCTCTACCTACACGTCTGTGAGTCGTCCGACGTGTCGATATACACTTTAACATTTTCTTATACTGAGATACAATGCAATATAATATTATGCATTATAATTGATAGTTTTTATATGATTCAACGAGATGCATTCACGTCCCACACAGTCTGAAGATCAGTCATCTGTTACTCGTTTAATATTATAATAATTATAATCTTTGTTTATTAAGTTTAATTTATTTATTAAATTCATATTATAMATGGATTTTACAGTAATTTAATAAGATTTTAATTAGAAAAAATTTATATTGTACAATATATAGTATATAATGTCATTTAAAATTAAATACTCATTTTTATTAATAACTCGCAAAAGGATCAAAATTATACGTAATATCCAATTAATATTGCATTATTTGATGTTGATATTGGTGAATTCGACATCAATAGTTAATAGTCGATTAACAGTAAAATAAAATAAAATAATTCAACACAATAACTTAAATTATATAATTTAGTTACCCCAATCTTGTTGTACAAATAATAATTGTTATTTATATTGCTGGACAATGCGTCAATGCGAGCCTGTTTCTCGTACTTATTAATAATCATAATAATAAATAAATAAATAATGATCTTATAATATGGTATCCGCATACTTCACATATCATGTAGCACATTAAATTCATGTATAATTGTATATYATATTTACTTGTATGCATTTTGTAATATTGCCAACGACTGGCCCAGCAAAATAGGATAATATCGTACAGACGCATATTTGTATATATTTTGATGAAAATATTTTTGTTTTTTTATTTTTTTGGGCTTTTACTGGCCTTTAAGGCCCGTCGCCRCAACAACACATTGTTTCCATTCTTCTCTATCTTTTGCACATTCTTCTGCGTTTCTTACGTTCAGGAGTTTCAAATCTTCTTATGTACTCTATCCACCCACCTTTGTCTGGGGCGTCCTCGAGGCCTCTTAGTGTCGGATTTCCATTTAGTTATTGATCCAATCATTCCCTCTGACCTCCACACATGTCCCGCCCAACTTATCCTCATGCTCTTCAAAATATTGGTCTTGGTAATAATTATTGTTAATTATATTACAAACATACCTACTTAGTATATCGCTTTAAACTTAACTATTTCTTTCAAATATATTCTGTAATAACATAATATTTATTCGTATAGGAATACTTGAATGTAAAATCTTATACCTACCAACCTAATGTAAATATATATGAAACACACTCAAGTACCTAATTAAAAAACAAATATTAGATAATTAGCAATAGATTTATGGTGGTGGAATTAGAGTTGAAGAAACATGAATTTTAAAAGCAAATATTTGGGGTTTTTTTTTCGTTTTTGGGTGGAGCAATGAATGTATTGATTTAACAATGCAATATGTGTTCGTTTTATTTGTATTTTTTTGTGTATGTGTGCATGATAAGTAGTTGAAATGATGTTTCGATTTTCAACTTTAGTATCTTTACCAGTCGGAAGTAAATCTAGATGGTGTGTTCGGGAGGTCAACATGTAAAATTCGCAGTATTTTTTTAGAAGAGCCGAAAAAAAAATTGAGAAAAAACAGAAATTTTCTACTGAATATTTATATTAGAATTTTTTATTCATTCTACAATTTTCAAAATATTTTGACTCATGTTGAGCTATTTATAGACATGTACAATTTTCAAATTTTATTATTATTTAAATTCATACCGATAAAAAAATTTTTGTTCTGTCAAAAAACTTGAAAATGTAATACAAGATTCCTCGTAAGCTGTTGAAGGTAGAAATTAAAAAAATAATAGTACAAAATATAAATTCATTGTTACTTTTTATGAGCGTTCAAAGTTCGAGTTTCTATAAAGTTTGTAAATATCATGAAAAATCGCAAATTATTTCAAGTTAAAAATTCATAAAAATTATTCTTACACCTAAAATTTAAATATTGAATATAAGATTCCTTATAAGTTTTTCTACCTTAATCAAAAAAAAAAAAATAAAATAACAAGTTATCATAGATGCTTGAAATTTCTATCATATTAATATATTATTATTATGTTTTATTTATGATTTTATATAGATTATATATTTTTAATATTCTGACTCGTTTCGAGCTGTAAATGGACATTTTAAATTTTAAACTTTGTTTCTTTTTTTTTCGTATAAATGAAAATAAAATGTAACTCATTGAGTCAAAAAGCTTGAAAATGTATTACACAGCTTCTGATATATTATTAACTTAGTAGTGAGAAAATATTGAAAATATGAATGAATGCTTTTTTATTCGTTATTGGTAAGTCAATATAAATATTTTAATGTGTTGTGTTGTATTTGGATCTAGAGACAAATCATTGTATATACGATGGATACGATCGGTCATCCTATATTTCTAATAATATTTTGAATTTAAATTAATTTGTATTATCAAATAAACACAATACTGAATACAATATAATTATAAGGTAATAATATATAGCCAAATTATCTACCCTTTTAAGCTGAGCCTGCTGTGGGTTAGGGACTTACAATCTAATTAGGTATGCCTATTATGACTAATTTAAATTACATGACTAATTAATACATATGATTTGTAAATTTGATTATTTAAAGTAGACTCGGTACTATCAAATTATATAGATAGCTCGTAGGTGTTATAAATTATAATATTATTTCATGTATAATATTGCTAGTGGTTATTAGTAAAACTATAGTTTAAAATTATCTTTAATAAGTCAATACTGAAGTGCCGTAGATTCGGGATATAAATAGCTTGTAATATACCCCGCAGATCATACGTTAATGGGTTTCCTAATTTTTATATTTTTTTGCAGTCCAAACGTATGTCGGTCGCGGTTCAGAAATTACTGTTGTCCTGGCTGGTCATTGAAACACGCAACAGGGCTTTGTATTGTCCGTGAGTATATATTGTGGTTTATTATTATTATGTGTTAATATGTGTACACTGTTTTATTAATTACTGTTAAGTGCTTTTTTAATAAACATAAACTGCTGAGGTCATAATATTTTATAGCATATTGTTTCGTTAATAGAATTATAATGATAAATGATCATTCACATCGTTCTGTTAATACCTGAAAAAATAATACAYAATAATATACAATAGTTATATCAAATAATATAAACTATTAAATTTTTTCAAACCATTTACAAGCGTATGTTGTATTTTTAACGAATGTTATCAAAGCATATAACAATGTTTCCGTTGTTTTATCTCAAATATTGCTGAATGCTAATGTAATATTTTGTATTATATAACGAGTCTCAGCGGCGCCGAAATTTATGTTATGTTAGGGTCAGGTCACGGCCTAATCATTTTATGAAAAAAGATGACGAAAAAAAAATATGTATATATATATAATATAAAAATTACAAAATATTTTAAAGAGTGATTACCTTTAATAATTTTTCTATTTTTATTTTTATTTTACAAGTAATAAACAATTTGTCATCTGTATCAATTAAACTAGTCATAATAGGAATATGAAATAAAAGTTAACAGGTTTTGTTGAAAGAAGCCACCCACTGATAACATAATAATATATGATTTTTGTTTTTGGGAAAAATTAGTTCAACTGTACTATTATATTTGAAAAATAAATAAATAGTAGCTGATAGTGAAAGTTTTAAGTTTTATGAAACTATGCGTCTATACACAAAGATAATATTTCTTAATAATGGCTTAACACAAAATATGAAATGGATAAGTAGTATTATAATGTTCATATATTAATATTGATTATTACTGTAATTTCTAAATTATCGTAGTCCTTATTTCTTATTAACAAATTATTGTAGATGTAGATTAATATCCTTAATACATCCTTAAAAGTTTGAAAATATTATATTTGAATACACCTACTTAAAAATTTAAAATTCAATAACAAAAGCATAATCAAACAAAAGGGGGGAAAAGAGTGAGCATGGATTGTGATTAATAATATAGTTAAATGCATTCATCATGTATAATATAAGTCACTGATTCAAATTTGTTCGTTTCGTTTCCAGCCGTGTGCAATAGGCCCTGCAATGGCGGTCGGTGTATCAAGCCTAACATGTGCCTCTGCGACGAAGGATCCGTCAGGTCAGCGTGTTTGCCTGACGACCTCAGAGATGCTTACAACAAGGATGACGAGCAGTTGCGACTGTCTCAGTCATCTGTGCCGGACCGATACGGAAAACCACCTCCGACCGGAGGGAACAACATTGGTAATTCCGGCGGAAGTAATGGCAGCAGTGGAAACAACAGCGGGACTAACGGTAGTAGAGGCATATCGAGTATCAGTAGCGATAGTACCAGCAGAGACGATAGTGTTAGCAGAAGCTATAGTGCTAGCAGGGGTGATAGTACTAGCAGGGGTGATGGTGCTAGCAGGGGTGATGGAGCTAGCAGGGGTGATAATGCGAGCAGAAGCGATACTCCTAGTAGAGACGTTGAAAATGTCAGCAGCATTAGCAGTACATCTAGTAGCAGAGTTACAACTACGACTACCGCAAATTCTCTGGTAGTGGCGTCACGAAGTTCTTGCAAGTATCCGTGTTTGAACGGTGGCACTTGTCAGGGATCGGTCTGCGCGTGTCGACAGGGTTACACCGGCGAAAACTGCGGTGACCGTAAGTGTGCGCCTTATTGCATACATATATAATATATTAGACCACCTTTAAATAACTCCATTATAAGTAGTATTACAAGCGACTTAAACACGAAATTGTGAGCCTATAATTTAACATGAGGAACGGAAATCGGTTTTAACAAAACCGCTTAATTCCGGTRACCTAACCGAAACCAGAGCAAGAACAATAAAACAGCAAGATATCGAATGTTAAGACTGAGATTGAAACATATTAAGATTATTTGAACGGTAACCAAAACCGAAACAGTTTTTTAATACAGTGGTTACCGTGTTTTTTTATATCAAACGATTAATGATTCTTATAGTAAGAGAAAAAGTTATGCATAGTCGGCACTCAGCAATAAAGTATAAAATCAAATAAAAAGGTGTAGTAATACGTAGCTAATATATATATATATATATATAAACTGTATAATGATTGGTTAACCAAAACCTTTAGTTCATAACCGATTTTAAAATCTGCAAAATTTGTTTTACTTCTTGTCCCTGTGTAATAAATATTCTCTAATCTTTTCACTGATTTTTGTTTTTCTGTTTTCAGCGATTTGTCGGGACGGATGCTTAAACGGCGGCCGTTGTATCGGTCCCGACCGGTGTGCTTGTGTGTATGGTTACGCTGGGCGCAGATGCGAAGCCGGTAGGTAAATTTTTGTCAATACAATCTGCGAGAAACAAACGCGCACGTACCCCGCCTGCCAAATGGCTTCTGGATAATAATTACGACTTATTGTGACTATTTTAACCGGTCGCTTATTACTCTTAGCTTTACGAAACGTTTCCCTGGACTTTTTCCAAATAAGCGATTCAAGCGTGTAAAATGTATAATAGTAAAACCTGAGTTATAAAGGTAAACCAGTAAACCACAAACGTATAATTGAACGAAGAACTGTTTCAATGGAAACGATGTTTTAACGAAAATAGAATATTGTGAACCCATACGGCTATAGGTACATAATATAATAAGACGAAATCTCCTTAAGAATATTATAATTGAGAGTATAAAATGATAGTCAATAGTAAGGATTAGTTATAGAATAAAAATGTCAGTACATAATTTAGTTTTTTAATCTGACCACSAGAAACATGTACAATTTTTGTTCAACAGAATCAATAGTATCAAATATACTTTGATATTAGTAAAAAACTGAAAACTGATCCATAATCAATTTTGAAGTTTATAATTTAATCTGTAAAAAAATAGGAGTTTTTTCTTAATTTTTGTTCGTTATAAAGTGTATTAATATTCACACGAAATCAGTAGTATAAATATGTTGCCGATTCGATTCAAAAATTCTAAATGACTATACRCATTAATGATGAGTTTCGACTACATTGGATACATTGGATATTTTGTTTAATACTGATTCTGTTTGAATTTGTAATATTAAAATAAATATTAGGTAGTATGTTTTGTATAAAACTGACTGTCATAATAATATACTCGTACTTATATTGTGTCAATATTAAAACCATGTTTCAATCTACGAGACTCAGAACATACGAATAAATCTATATTATAAATCAAAATTAAAACAAGTATAATATTATAACATGTATTAATGTTTCGTATACTATATGATATCGTAGCCGTAAACATAGTGTAGTGCGATGTTAAGATAATAAACAAAAGAACATAAAAACAGTGACTAACGAGTTCCATAATTTGGAARAACTATAATATTTATCTTGCGCGCAATCGTCTTGCCGTTTGTTAGGTCAAAAATGAATTACGTACGCAAACRAGTTCCGATGCATAATAATGTATAAAGAACAGAAAAAACACTCACCGATAGACAGTGTTTAGTGCACAATACTACATTTCTTTTACAGTGTAAATAGAAATAATATACCAGCTACGTATTTGCATTTTGTAGACTCTATAATTTGTGAATTTAGACTTTGATTGAGAGTAATTTAATTTTCATATTTTATACGAAAATCACTCCGATATCACAATATTTTGATATGATCATTGTGCAGTTTAGATGTACCTACTTATTTTGTCGGTTTCTACAATGTACATCATATTAAATTTGTTTTGTTGTACATAGATAATATTATAAAACATCTATACAGTTTTCGTGCACAATCGATATTTATTTTACCATCGTTATCGTTTTTAGATTACCGAATCGGCCCTTGTTACACCAGGGTGATCAACGATATGTGTCAAGGACAACTTGAGGGTGTTGTTTGCACCAAACAGTTATGTTGTGCAACAATAGGCCTGGCTTGGGGACACCCATGTGAACAGTGTTCATTGAGCTACGATTGCGATATAGGTTTTCTCAAGAACTTGCATTCGAACCAATGCATAGGTAAGTGATTTATATATTTWAAAAAAACAATTCGATGCTCGTTAAGATAAGTTTTAAATATTTACAATATGTTCTCCTGTCTTACTGTTACATTATCTTCTTAATATATTACAAACAATATTTGGACGATGATCAACTGTATGTCATTTACTTGGATTTGGGACAAAATTGTAATAWAGTAACTTGATTGATGTTCACTGAAAGTGTAAATGTTTTCATGAAAATAATAAAACGTATTTTTTTTTTTTATGTGGCGTCATTATAATATAACATGTACATGTTATAATAAATCAAAGCTACATACGATTTTTAAATAGGTACCTAAAAATGTATACATTAATGATGGCCAGTTTAAACATTTTTTTTTTGTTTAGAGTCATTCATTAAAAATTAATAAAACAAATTAAATATAAKGTACAAATAATTATATCATACTCTTTTACTCTTTTCAAAAATAATTCGTTTTTAAGTGCACTACATATTATCAAATCGAGATATACCTATAACTAGTATGTGCAAAGTTCAAATTATTTATAAGAGCGTTTATATTATGTTATATACATATAATAATTGACAGGTTTCTGGTCAAATATAATTACTTAGAACGGAACATAATATTTTTGAGTACTCACAGAGTATGGTTTTTATTCTCGATTTATTTTCAGACATTGACGAGTGTGAGGCAATTCCTGGAATTTGTAAAGGTGGAGCGTGTGTAAATAGTGTGGGTTCCTTCAAGTGCGTGTGTCCTGAAGGTAGAGTGCATAATCAAGTAACAAACGTTTGCGACGACGAAAACGAATGCAAAAGAGGCGATCCGAGCATTTGTCAAGACGGTTATTGTGTAAATACCGACAGTTCGTATTATTGTATTTGTAAACAAGGATTCGTGCCYACCGCTGACCGAAAAGGATGCATAGGTAAGCTTACGGGGGTTTTTTTTTCCCCGGTGGTCATATTTATGGCCTTACGGGTTAATCAAATCTTAATAATATTGTGGAAGGATGACTGAAAAAAAAACCGATAAATATTGAGTTATTTGTCAATTTTGTTGATTGTTTTGTATTACATTTCTTCGTATAGACACTCAACAAGGCCAGTGTTATACGAGACTTGTGTCGAGTCAAGACTGTTCGGATCCGTTGCCCATGAAACTCTCTAAGAAAGACTGTTGCTGCGGTAAAGACATGGGAAAGGGCTGGGGAAATAGTTGTGAACATTGTCCGCTACAAGGAATGGGTAAACTTAACAATATTATATCGGTTAACGTGACGTTTATGTCAAAATAATACATACTTTATTGTTAAAACTTTTTACTAATACCTATCTTGGACTTAATATTATACTTTATAAAGTTTGATGATTTACCGAGTATAATGCGTATTATATTATTATATTTCATCGATCAGAAATTTTCTGGATACTGCATGTWCATTAAAAACTAGGGTTATACGATGTGCATAATATTCTATATTATGTATGCCAATATTTAAAAAAAACTTTTAAACATTTTATTTTTAAATTCAATTTTAAAATATTAATAAAAATAAATGAACACACTTTTAACTTATCGATATTCTTTTGTTGTTTTTATAATTTATTTAATCATAATTATATGGGTATTTTTTATTGTTGTTTAATGCGTAGGTCCGGCATGATGTGAACGATTAAATTCACAGTATTCTATTTTAAGCAATTACATTTAAAAGTTTTAAAACTGTTTCTGTATCGCAGACTACAATTTGTTGTATTTCATTCTCGATTAGTTATATTGTTATATATAATAAAAGAGACGTCTCGTTTAGAGTAACTATTAAGAATAGCTATGTGATTTTATGGCTTATTGTAACGAATTATTGATACGAGATAAAGYTCACAAACGACATTATTGTTATTCGGTTATGAATTCTAAACCTTATATTGCAGTAAACGCAGTTTCGATCATAGTATTACTCACACACGTTTTATGTCGATTTGTGATTAAAATTCGATTTCTTGAGTTTCAACTTAAATGCATAAAATATGATATAGCTAATAAAATAATAATGACCATATGCGCCTCGAGGGAGCAAAGACCTTTAATTTCGATATCAATAAGAGATATGCACCTATAGCCATTAGCGCGCATTAGTCAATACACATTACACACGTATTATTGTTAATTTGATCATCAAATCTATAAAGTATATTTCTCATGATAATGGATGGTAGCTTACGTCACAAACTGTATAATGAATTTCAGCTGAATACGTAAAACTCTGTCTCGGTGGCAAAGTCAATCAAACGGTGCTGAACTTGGTGGACGAGTGCGGTTTAAGACCAGAGATTTGCGGGACCGGGGGCAAATGTATCGATACGGTCGACGGGTATGCATGCGAGTGTTTTGCGGGGTTCACAAAGAGCAGACACGAGGAGTCGCAAGTGTGTGAAGGCTAGTCATCTTATGTGTAAATAATACGCTTGTGCCTGCACAGACACGCATGTCATCAGAGATCGTCTTAAATTTTCAACCGAATTTTCGTTTGTTTTTTTTTTTT